AGAGTTTGAGTTCTTTAAAAGAATGTGTGATTGTCTTTGTAAACCTGGTATTTGTACACCACTCTTGGCGTATAGTAGACCCTAAATTGTTGAATGAATGAATGCAATGAGTCAATGATTCTTGTTCAGTGACTTTCTCAAAAAGGAGAGCAGGGGAGATCACAATGTCTAAATCCACAGGTAACTGCACCTGAACTAAATCTCAAAAAGTTTGTGACTCAAGGAAGTTAATAATCCTCTGACCGCTTATATGGTAAGCACCAGCAGAGAAGGCTTTTTTTTTTTTTTAAATCACCTCTGTAGTTACACAGAAGGCACTCAATGTGAATTTGTGGACTGTGAGTAATGTTGGCATTTGTCTATTAACCAATACTTATCTGTGTGTAGAACTTCAGTTACCCTTTTTACTTGGACAGTATTTCACTCGTTTGTTATTTTTTAAAAATTCTGTTAATTTGCAAACTTATTCATCCTGATGTATCTTCAATGCTTTAATGACATAGCTCGGTGGTAGGTGGCAAGGACATAAGACCACAGAATCAGAAGGCCTCAGTTCTACCCCCAACAATACCACTTATTAGAACAGGATTAGGTCTTCAATCCTGGGATTCTTCATCCTCACAATGTAAATAGTGCTTTATAAATTGGGGAGAAAAGAGCGGAAATTCAATTAATGTTGGTTCCCCTTACTAGACATCCCTCTTTACCAGGAATGCTGAAAAATGATGGTTATGTAAACGCTTCGCCAAGCGGAAATGTTCAGGATCAGCCAAACTTAATAAGCATTACTGGAGTTTTTAAGAATACTTACTTTTTTTTAAGTATCTTCATGTTTTCAAATTAATTTTATTCTGCTTTCTCTCCCTTCTGCAGACAAATGTGGCGGTACTGCCTCCTTTTGTTAAATAATAAAAGTGGTGAGGAGACTTGTACAATATTAATTGAGAAAACCCACAGGCACACGACTAGAGTCCACAAAACCAGCGACTCTGGACCCCAACCAGGAAACAGGAAACAGATACTGAGTCGCATTTCCCCGCCCCCTTCCCTGCTAGGCAATAGCAGACGGCCAGTGAGGAAGGGAAGAGGCGGGGGCAGAGGTCTCGTTCCCGCCCCCGCCGTTTCAGTTTCCTAATAGGTCCGTAAAACTGATATATAAGAGGCTGCAGCCCGCTGGTAAGTGCTGTAAGAGATTAGGAGTTGCTGTTAGCCATGTCTGGTCGAGGCAAGGGTGGAAAGGGGCTGGGAAAGGGGGGCGCCAAGCGTCATCGTAAAGTTCTCCGTGACAACATCCAGGGCATCACCAAACCTGCTATCCGCCGTCTCGCCCGGCGTGGTGGTGTGAAGCGTATTTCTGGTCTTATCTATGAGGAGACCCGTGGGGTGCTGAAGGTGTTCTTGGAGAATGTAATCCGCGACGCTGTCACCTACACCGAGCACGCCAAGCGCAAGACTGTCACCGCCATGGACGTGGTTTACGCGCTCAAACGCCAAGGACGCACTCTCTACGGCTTCGGCGGCTAAGTTTCATTGCGGTCTTCGGCTGTGAAGCTCTTGTTTACTCACAAAAGGCCCTTCTCAGGGCCACCCACTTGGTCACATGAAGGGCTGCTAACTAGCACAAAGGAGGAACAAAGGTAATATTTAACGTTTTATATTAATACTGGGTGCCGATTTTAATTAAGGCAGTCGCTTTCTCTTTGTAGAGGCCGGCTGTCGCGTTTTTTTGGTCTTTTTTCCGAGTTAGATATCATCTCAAGATGGCGGCTCTCAGACATGCCAAAAACAAAATCGTGCAGTGGAACTGCTGGAGTTTTTACTCAACAGAAGTGAATTGCATTTGACGTGGCATCAGTTTTCGAATTTCAACATGTTTGAGTTCATTTTACCCCCCCAAAACATTAAAATTAACTTGTCTAGAATGTTCCAGTGACCCAGCACCTAGTGTCCTGAAGAGGGCACCTGGGGCCTTTAAGCAGCCTTCTTCCTACAGAGAACGTCGCAGATAGCTCTGGATAGATGGAGCCATAGGTAGTGAACTCAAATCGGGTGGAAGAGACATTGTAAAATTTTGTCTTATCTAGTGTACTCCTGAGGACGCGTTGGAACTCTTTAACATGCCTAAGAGGTCATCACTCTTAATGCTTTGTTTCCAAAACGTTGACAATGTGACCTTTCTTATGGCCATCCCACCTCTGACTGCATCCTTACCTCTCCATTTTCCCACCAGGCGGAAGAGGTGCTCTTCAGGCCTTCTCATGCTCATCCTGCCACCTGTGTTCTAAATCTTTCACTCCCAGAAGCTTTGTGTTTGTGTCAGTGAAAACACACCCAGGGACAGTTTCATTCTGTCCCTGTTATCTTAAGATAGTTATTAATGGAGCCCACTTCCACTATCAATAACTTATTTGCACAGTAGATTAGTTGGTCATCCTGATCTAATCATAGTGATATCCCAGCTTAAAGTTTTATTCCTCTTTCTCCTGGCTCTTTCCCATCTACATATAAATATGTTTCAGTGTCTCTCAATTTAATCCATACCTCTGTCAATTAGTAGATCCTTTCCATTTATCAAATCTCCAAGCCTTGGGTAATCTGGAGTCACGATCCTCATGTCTTTTCATGATTATGTGACTTCTTCACAAATCACTCACTAAATATATCCTTGGCATAGTTACCAGTGAGCTTCAAATGGCCAAAACCATACACATCTGACCCTGTTTATTACTCCTGCCTTCACAATCTTCTCACAGTGTTTTGTGGTACCTTTCTTCCTAACCCAGATCCTATTGTTCTCCATGATCCTTCTCAGTTTGCTTCTTTGGGTCCTATTCCTCTGTTCTGTGGTTCCACTCAATTAACAAACTCTTGTTCTCCATTATCAGTTCACAGATCCTCCTTGAGCCGTCTCTTCCAGAGTGTGCCATAAATGGTGAGACATCTTGGCACCCCGAAAATTGAATATCAGCTGAAATGGAGCAGAATATGCCACCCCAAAATATGCCACTTTGGCATAAGGATTATTTTGAGCTAAGGCGCTTGAAAAACAGCTAATGAAAGAATGGGGCTGTGATCTCCCTTTTTCTTCCCGAAAGCAGATAATTATCCCATGTGAAAGGTGCCATCCCTATACCAGGAGGAAATGAACATTCTTATCACCAGAAATGGGGAGTCCAGGATGAGAGAATCTATACAAACAGACCTTGTTAAAATAATCCTTATCTTCCTTTAGCCTCCCCATATATTTTAATTGCTATTTCACAATTACTACTCTTTGTTCAACCTAGTATAGAAGCACTTAGGCTTAACTGCTTTTTGGGTCTTCATTTTCCTGTGAAGACTCCCATGTACATGTAAAAAGATTAAATAAAATTTGTGTGCTTTTCTCATGTTAACCTGTCTTATGTCAACTTAATTCTCAAGCCCAGTTAGAGACCCTAAAAGGGTAGAGGAAAGTTTTGTTTCTCCTATACAGCTTTCTAATCCCTATAGTGGCCTGACAGTTCTCTCTGCCTGCATTATTCCCAATCTACAATCACTCCCTCCCACTGCAGAAATCTGAGTGAGTTGCAAATTTCATCATGCCGTGTAGGAAAAAAGAGGGAGAGCGAGAGCGAGAGAGCGAGAGAGCGAGAGAGCAAGAGAGAGAGAGAGAGCGAGAGAGCGAGAGAGAGAGAGAGAGAGAGAGAGAGAGAGAGAGATAAAGAAAGAAAGAGAGATTCTGAGACTGGACAAGCCTAACATTTATTCCAGGCCTGATAGTGCCACCAAGAGGGGCAGACAGCTATTGAGGAGATCCCTGGAATAAAATGCTGCACTCATACCCTCTCTCTCTCTCCGCCCCCTTCTCCTCCTCCCGCCTCTCCCTCTCCACCTCGCTGCCTTCTCCTTCTTTCTCCTTCCCCTTCCCCTTCCTCCCCTTCCCCTTCCTCTCCTTCTCCTTCTCCTTCTTCTCCTTTTTCTTCACTTTGTGTCAGAGTTTGTGAAGAGTCTGGGATCTTACCCTACTTACAAGATAATAAGATAACCTGTAAGTCTTTCATGGCTGCTGGCAGTAGACACAACACTCCTAGGTCAGAGACAAGAGGCTTTATTACAGCACAGCACATCAAGCAGCAACTTTGCATTGGGTCCCCTTGTCCATCAGGTCCCACAGGGGCGACCTGGAGGGGTCCAGATGGATACTGCACACACAGTGGGTTTGCATCACAGCCAGGGTACAGCTTGGGGGATTGAACTGAGTGCACTAAGCAAATCCGCTCTTTGTCTGGGGACAGCCACTATCCCATTCTTTAAGGTTCCTCAACTCTGATAAATGGCATTCTTGGCACACCCTCAAGGCCTGTGGCAGATTGCCTCTGCCAACGCTGGGTTCAAAGGCTACACAATAAGGGTGTAATTGTGTTTTGCCCCAAGCTAGTGTATCCTCCTTGAATATTCAGTCTATGCATTGATATATGAGTGACACCAGGAAAGAAGAAAGCTTAGTTCTAACTTCCAGTAATTTATAGCTTGGTTGAACCAGAAGGTTAAACAAAAACAATTAGAAAAAATAATAAAAGATAGACTATATTCAAGTAGGAACACTTATGGTCAGAAATTTCATTCTTAGAGCCCTTTGCAGGCAAGGGAACGATGAGGATATGAGGAAGAAGGTCATATTGTAACCGGAAGTGGGGTCTGGCTGCTCGCTGCTCAGAAGCCAATAAAGAGGCAAGGTTGGTGGAAAGGAAAGTTTGCTTTATTTTGGATGCCAGCAACTGGGGGGGGGGGGGGGGGGGGCGAACGCCTGTCCAAAGGCTGACTCCCCCCCAGCTGACAATCAGTGGGCAAGAGCTTTTCCAGGCTGAGGGAGGGCGCTACATGCAGAAACAGTACAGTCAGCTCTCACAGTCATCTTGAAATTGGTCATGTGGTGGTCTGACCAGCATCATCTTGATTATTAAGTACAGTTAGTCTTTACTTCCAGGGTCGGTTTGTTCCCATTTCTTTGAGGCCATTTCTCGGATTTGTGGCAGCTTATGTCATGGCTGCAGTCTGGTCATCATGTAGTTAACTTCTTCCGCCTGGCGGGGGTTTCAGTACCTACAAGGCAGCTCACAGGATGTGGCTCAGAACATTAACTATAGCCCTTGAGGAGGAACTAAAGGTCCTTGACTATGCTTAAGGACTAAACTATTATTATTTGGTCTTCTTTGACAGTTTTCCTTTGTTTCTGTATTTTCTCACTTCTCTGATTAAAATTATTCTTTGGCTAAAGCCTTTACACAGACAAAAGTCAGGCTGAGAACATGGGGGCATAGACCATACTGTCCTGCTCCGTTTCAATATGACAGCTGGGCCCAGAAGGAGTAGCAGGTATTTGGCTGAGGAAAGAGCAGGGAAGAGTGAGGCGAGAGGAGGCAGGAGTAAGGGGGATTCACTATGTTATTGAAGAGTGCTCAGTTCTGCGAAGGACTGAGTATACGTTAAGTTACATCTAAGTATACGTTAGACTCAGAGACTAGAGATAAACGTGTGCTGAACACAGAGAGGATGGGATTGAAGGACCAAGTAGGCACCACACATTCATGAGGCACATAAAATTCTCAGTATCTATGAGGCATCTCATACTTGATATCTTAAGTCAGCCACCCACTTGACCTCTGCCCATAGGATGCAGATAAAACCCATTGGTGAGTGACAACTATAGACCAAGCAAATATACCCCTAGATCTGTTTAATAGAGCAACTGTGTGTGATTGGCCCAGCTGCCTTCCACCTGCTCAGTCCTCTTGCTCAACTTAACTCTGGTCCTCAGAGGCCCATCATCAGGAAGGAAGGCTGATGTGGCAGAGAGCAAAGGAGATTATATGAACATTGTGTAAATAACAGGATTCATCTAGCGAGGACTTTCCACCTGTTTGTCTTATCCTAAGTATGCTGTGCTGTACATCTATTTCCCCATGCTTTTTGCAACATGGTTTAAATTGATTAAAATTTCTAAGCATTTTAATTTGGTCTGTGACCCTTTCTGCTCTGTGACCTCTGGGAAAGTTGCCTGGTAGTGTGCTTGGTGGTGAAGCGTGGCAGAATATGCCACCCTAAAATATGCCACTTTGGCTTGAGTTATTTTGAGCTAAAGGCACTTGAAAAACAGCAGGTGCAAAAGAGCACTCTGACCTATTTTCCTTCTGAAAACAGGAAATCAAACTCCCATATGGAAGATTCCCTCCCTGTACCAGGAAAATAGCATTATCACCAGATAGGAAGCTTAAAACAGAGAGAACTCTGCATTGTTAAACTAGCCTTTATCTTCCTAGTTCCTTTTCTACCATTAACTATTCTAGCCCAAACTCCTTTGTCTTGCCACATTTTCATAATTTAATTTAGTATATAAGCCATGTAAGAGCTGTACTCTAGTGTCTGTGGACACCCCAAATATTTATTTCTACTCAAAGAACCCATGACCCTTTACTTACCAGCTGCGTGGCCACATTTAGCCACTAGCCACCTGTTGGTCCTGAGTTAATCTATACATCAAGAACAGCGATAGTAACACCTCCAGCATTGTGAAAACACCTTAGGGACTGAAGACCGAACTATGTCTAAGCAACATTTTAGTGCTTCACTTCTCCCATCTGTACCAAACTACCCTACAGACCACGAAATGGTAAGTGCGAGCTCTTTCATAGAAAAGGTAGGTGGCCCTGAAAAGGGCCTTTACCTTTGCTATAGAAAAGAGAAAAACCTTACAAAGGTCAATTTTAGCCGCCGAAGCCATAGAGAGTGCGTCCCTGGCGCTTGAGCGCATAGACTACGTCCATGGCCGTAACAGTCTTGCGCTTGGCGTGCTCGGTGTAGGTGACAGCGTCCCGTATTACGTTTTCCAGGAACACCTTCAACACCCCGCGGGTCTCCTCGTAGATGAGGCCGGAAATGCGCTTCACACCGCCACGCCGGGCCAGACGGCGAATAGCGGGCTTGGTGATGCCCTGGATGTTATCACGCAGGACCTTGCGGTGACGCTTAGCGCCCCCTTTCCCCAGGCCTTTCCCGCCCTTGCCCCGTCCAGACATAACACAGAAAAACTAAGCACGGCGACTGAGTCTAAAGCTAGCAACCTGCAGCCCCTTATGTAGCGATTGTGCGGACCTTTGTGAAAACTGTAAGACCAGAAAGGCGGGAAACCGTACTGAGTCCCCGCCCCTTGCTTCTAAGACCTGAAATGAACAAGGGCTAGGGCGTTTTACTGGTATTCAGAAAATAAGAATCTTTAAACAGAAGCATCAAACGTATACACAAAGGGAATTGCCTCGTTTAAGTATGTTTGTATGTGTTTAAAGATTTATCCATTCCATATATTCTTGGATCTTTGCCACTGGCCTTTAAGCCCAAATTCCCAAAACAAAGTAATTTATAAATACATTGACAAGCAACCACGCCAGGCTTTGGGTTTGGAATCCATAAGCAAGCTGCTCTCAAACTATTTTTTTTTTTTTTTTTTTTTTTAAACACCTTTATTGGGGTATAATTGCTTTACATGCTCTCAAACTATTATTGGGCATGTTTATTAATCTATCTGAGACTCAGTGGCCTTATCCATAAAATAGGATCAATACTACTGATAATAGAGTTATTGTAAACAAAATACCATCTAGTTCGTGAACAATAAATTTCTATCGCCCTGGACTTTGTTCTTAAAAACAAAGTATTTATAATACAGACAGGCCTAAGGCACATGGAAAGATTTCAAAACATTTCTAATATAACACCAATTTGTACAGTGTGCTTTCACTTATACAGATTAAGCATATAAATTTGAACAATGAAGGATTGCAGAGGAAAAGAATGTAAATTGTCAGGGGCTAATAATACCCTGTTCTTATATAGAGGACAGAGGGTGGAGGGGTGGCTGTCCTTTACTGTGGTTGGTGCATGGAACTCATGCAAAGCTATCATAAACGCCAATGTTAGGCAAAGAGATTTTATGCAAGTGCCAGAAGTAAAAATGTGATCTTTCCTAGATTATTATATTATTTAAAAAAAATTGTCGAGCACTATGATTTAAATGATGTCCTTGGAATAAATAGAATGTTCAAAATAAGAGATTATTTTTACTTCACACTATGATATACCAAGCACACTGTCCTAAGAGCTGAGCAGTAGCTCAACCAATTACCCCATCAGTAAATTTGAGATTACAAATATCAAATTTGAAAACTCAATTTACTTTTGAGGTAGTGGCAGCAATAGCTAAAAAATCACACACCAACATAAACGAACCAAACTGCTGTTCAATGGACACGTCATCACTAGAACAGCCAGAATAAAGGAAAACACTGCTATTTATGCAAAAACAAACCAAAACACACCAAAAAAAGAACATTAATTTGTTAAACAAGCCTTGGAGTCCAAAGTAATACACAGTAGCAACTGCTAAAGAAAGATCACAGCCTTTTTTACATTGTCATTTTGAAATAACTAAATTCACAAAAGTTGCTCCAATAGTACCTAGAGTTCCTCGAACCCAGTTTCCCCTAATGGTGAAATCTTATTATCTTATAATATCAAAGCCAGGTAATTGACATTGGCAAAGTACTTTTAACTAGCCTACAGGCCTTACTCAGGCTCTCACCAATTTTTCCATGCACCCATTTGTGTGTGTGTGTGTGTGTGTGTGTGTGTGTAGCCCTGTGCAATTTTATGTGTCACTACCATCTCAACGCTGACACAAAACTGTTCCATCATCACCAACGAACTCATTAATGTAACACTTTTGTATTCACATCCACTCACTTCTCCCCTGTCCTGGGGCGATCACTAATCTGTTATCCACCTCTAGAATTGCCATTTTGAGAATGTTATATACATGGAATAATACAAAATGCAACATTTTGAGACTGGCTTTTTTCACTAAGCGTTACCCATCTAGGTAGTTGCATGTATCAATGGCCTCCCTTTTTATTGCTGAGTAGAATTGCATTGCATTGTGTATGAGAATTTATTTAACCATTCACCAGTTGAAAGATATTAAGTTGTTTCTAATTTATAAATAAAGCTGTTATGGACTTTCATGCAGAGGATTTTTGTTGTTTCTCCCCAGCTGCCCCCCACCCCCAGTTTTGGTTTGCTTTTTGTATTTCCTGCGTTCCACCTGAAAATTACATTTTTTAAAATGGCAGAAGTTCTGCGATGATGACTGGGAGCCTAATAAGCCTTTCAATAGTCACATAGAAATCACATTGCATTGCCATTAACACTTGCAGTTTTGCTTCAAGGTTCAAAAACATTGCACTGAGCTATCCCCACTGTTTCTGAAGGTGACTTCTGGTTTCTGTAGCTGAGGATTTGCTCCAGTAACAGTCTGAAACGTTTGTTAAATAAACTGTTGGTGTCCAGTGTCTTTGGTTCCTGCCGTGGGACGTGTGTTCTCACTTTTCTGCAGAGCTATTCACTTAGCTCCTGGAGAGCCTCCAGTGTTGCCTAATCCCCCCCGACCGGGAGTAAACCCAGGAATAAGGCTGGGCGTTCCCACTGCCAACATCTGTAAAACCTGACTGAATCCACAAACCTGGCATTGCTCTAGGGTTTGCCCTAGGATTCTGCATTTGTTAGAGGAAAGTTGGGAGCTGTTGTCTCATTGGCTCTTTGAGGATAATAATAGGTGATTATGGCAAAGCCTAAGTTCTGCCTTAGTGACTATATTATGTTTCTCATGCAGGGTGCAGACACATTCTGCAATCTGAATTTTCAGTTATGTGCTGCAACAACCTATGAATTCCTGATGTGCTGAACATACTTATTAGTTCAGGCCCCAGATTTGGTGCACTAGTGCTGTGCCCAACTGTATCACTGACAGCACTGCTGCCCACTCTGCCGGTGGTGCTGCTGGAAGTTGAACTCTGGAAATCCCATGCAACCCATGTTTTGGGTACCAGGTCTCTATTTTCAGTACAGAAAGTATGACGACCTTTACCAGAGGATGTATTGCTCAGCACAGAAGCAAGTAAGTTAACACCAAACTGCTCTCCAGTAGTACTCAGCCTGGGTCCTTGAATATGTTCATGTTCATGTGCACACACATGTGTATGTGTGTGCATGCCACATAAAGCATCCCTAGCATGCTTTCCAGGTTGCTCAAGGACCCACCCTTTTTCTCATACCTGACGTCATCCCTGGACTTCTTGTATCAGGGAGAGGGAAATTTGAATTATTTTGCCTGGTCTAATAATTAAATTGACATAGATTAACGGGGGAAAAAAACAATTTGTACGCAGAGGTCATTCAGAAATGAGACCACCGAAGTAACCAAAGCAGGCCATATATATATATATATATATATTTACATTATGTATATATATATGCCCTATATATATACACACACACACATATATATGGCTTGTACTTGGGGTAGCAGACAAATGAAGTTTGCTTATACAGCTTTCTTAGTGTTGAATTCCCAAATTCTATTAAGGATACTTTCTATTCTCATACTGGGATAAGGATATCTTCACATGGGAGGTTTATTTCTCTTTTAGGGGTTAAGAGGATAAAAATATTTATATATCACCTATTTTCCCCTGGCTGTTTCTCAAATAACTTTAAGGATTGCAGAGGAAAAGTAGTTTCAGGAATCAATGTCCTGTTCTTATATGGAAGACAGAGTGTGCAGGGGTGACTGTCCTTTCCTGGGGTTGGTACATGGAATACTTGGGGGAGAAGGGAGTTCTGCCCTCCTCCAGCCTTGCCTTGGTAGGGGTCGGGGGGATTTTCTACTCCCTTGTGATACAGTTCCTCAAAGTGAAATTATAGGTGGCTCTGAAAAGAGCCTTTGGGTTTTAAGTTGTCAATAATAATTTATGCTCTCTCCCCGCGGATGCGGCGGGCAAGCTGGATGTCCTTGGGCATGATGGTGACGCGCTTGGCGTGGATGGCACACAGGTTGGTGTCCTCGAAGAGCCCCACCAGGTAGGCCTCACACGCCTCCTGCAGCGCCATCACGGCCGAGCTCTGGAAGCGCAGGTCGGTCTTGAAGTCCTGCGCGATCTCGCGCACCAGGCGCTGGAACGGCAGCTTGCGGATCAGCAGCTCCGTGGACTTCTGGTAGCGGCGGATCTCGCGCAGGGCCACCGTGCCGGGCCGGTAGCGGTGCGGCTTCTTCACGCCGCCCGTGGCCGGCGCGCTCTTGCGGGCCGCCTTAGTGGCCAGCTGCTTGCGCGGCGCCTTGCCGCCGGTCGACTTACGAGCAGTTTGCTTTGTACGCGCCATTACTTATCTCCAAAATAAAGAGGCTAAACTGGTAGATTTGCTTCTATATTTATACAGGAACAGAATCACTCTGATTGGATTGTGGGCAATTCCTGTTAGTCATCCGCTGCTAAATTCCGGAAGTGCTCCGAGCGATTTAGGATTGGTTTATCCTTTAGGTGCAAGTTTGGGATTGGTGAATTTCAATTAGCAGACATCTTCCCAGCCCCTTAAAAAAAATTTTTTTTTTCCGAGTTGTTTTATCGATAATACCCACACACTCAAGTATTGTCCAAAAACACATTACTAATTTAATATTCTTCAACGTTTTTCCTGTTTGGATATACAAAATAGAATGTGTTCGGAAAACTTTAGACTTCAGACACCCGCCATTTTCTGCAGTTAACCCGTTTTCATCGGATCTTAGTCCCAGACCTTCCCCCTATTTAAAAATCCATCGTCTAAGCATCTCATGAATCCTATTCCACACTGACCGTAAACATCTAGTTCACTGTAACATGGTCTTCTAGGAAATACTGTTAAGATGTAAGGAATTTTGTATTATTCAGGGGACACGCAGCAAAATCCCAATATCCTGGAATCCCTGGATCTTTAGTGTTTGACTCAAAACGGGTAATTTGGGGCTTCCCTGGTGGCGCAGTGGTTGAGAGTACGCCTGCCGATGCAGGGGACACGGGTTCATGCCCCGGTTCGGGAGGATCTCACATGTCGCGGAGCGGCTGCGCCCGTGAGCCATGGCCGCTGGGCCTGCGCGTCCGGAGCCTGTGCTCCGAAACTGGAGAGGCCACAACAGTGAGAGGCCCGCGTACCGCAAAAAAAAAAAGAAACAAACAAGCAAACAAAACTGGTAATTTGGCTCTGTTGTTTGGCTTTGATGCATTTTTAAAATGTCACCTTGGGTCTAACGGTGAGAGCCGTCATGAAAAGCTTTGCAATGTGGAACCTTAAAAAAGATGGCGGCGATCGAGTCTTTCTTGATAACACTGCAATGGGCCGGCATTTCGGGACTCCTTGCGAGGGTCCCAAGGTGTCCCTGACAAACCCGACAGAGCTGCGGTCAGGACTGGACTGGGCTAGATAACAGGATTTCCTTACCTGGTTTCCGCATCCAAACGCGAAGACTTTCATTTAATTAAAAAGAAATTGATTGTTTTGTGTGAATGAATTTATAGTCTCATTACAGTGCTGTAAATCAACCTATAGGAATATACAAAAGTGCTCGTTTTTGATCCAATAAAAAAGGGAGTTTTTGAATCCTAGTTTACATACTAGTAACCTATTGGTCAGCTTTTGTCCAATCAAAGTTTAGCTTTGTGAGTGTTCGTTTGTATATCCTTGATAAAAATACTCGCGATGTTCCTTTTGTTCTCGTTCTTTTAATCCCCCAATTTTGCTTACTTTGTTTACCATGCCAGAGCCGGCTAACACTGTCCCAACTCAAAAAACGGCTCCAAAAAGGCAGTGACTCAGGTTCAGAAGAAAAATGGCAAGAAACGCAAGTGCGGTCATAAGGAGAGCTATTCTATCTTTGCCTATGTCTGTAAAGTGCTGCAAGTAGGTCCACTCGGACCCTAGCATCTCGTCCAAGGCCATGGGCATCATGAACTCGTTTGTCAATAACATCTTTGCATCGCGGGCGAGCCGTCGCTCCTGGAGCATTAAAACAAGCACTTGTCCATCACATTCAGGGAGATTCAGAAGGCCGTGGGCCTGCTGCTGCCCGGGGTGCTGGCCAAGCACGCCGTGTCCGAGGGCACCAAGGCTGTCACCAAGTACACCATCTCCAAGTAAATTTTTCTATGCCTCTAGCATTTCTCAATGGTTCTTTTTAGAGCCACTCATTTTTGCATATTGAGAGCTATAATATCAAGATTTGTCAGTACTTTAAAAACATGTTTTTTTCTTTTCTTTTTTTTAACAGTCATTCTTTAAAGCGCAGGAAACAGTATTGCAGTATGAGAGGTTTATTTGAATTTTTGTTCTTCAGTGCAGCAAAGAATTTGAAATGTGTGTTGTAGGAACTAGTAGAAAGTTGTAGTATTCTGGGTTTTGTGTTTTTATTTCTTAAAATCTTTAAATTGTTCTTGTAGCCAGTCATTGCTTAGATTGAAAATTTTAGAGTGAGTATCTGTGGACTTAAAGTTGTGTAATGCTAGTACCTGTATTTGGGTTCCTTGTTTTAAATATAATGCCCATGTTACAACAAAATAATTTTATGTGCTTCACAAATATTAACTCATGAGAAGGTGTTCGTACTTTACAAAGGGTCAGAATCTCAATTATACAGTATATACTGGACTAGGCCTGGGGTATTTACCGGAACCTCAGAGTTTAATCTCAACTACAAGTATACGCTTTCAAAGGTGAATTTTCAAATTTGCATTAAAAAGAAAAGATTTTCACTTTATTTTGTCTTGAGGCTATTATTGATATAATCAACCCTACATGGTGCTGAAGTGGGGTCTGAAATCCTCAATTTGACTAATTTTTATTTTATATTTCATTTTTGTATTCCTTGCCTTCAGTCAGTGTTAGGTTCTGTATTCATTTACACAGGAGGAAAAAAAAAAGAAGAAACAAAATCAGGAGTAAGAGAAGATGTACAAGTGCAGGGAGAACAGAGAATATGGAATGAAATGTACAGTTTCCCTGAGTTACTATTTTGATAGTTTCTGTATTGCTGAAAGCAAAATGACTGATAAATTGCTTTTAGTACTTTTCACGGCTTATAGAGTTGGTATTTGGGCGGCCAGCAAGACACTACCAATGTATGTGCCAGGTCAGTATTGGGTGTGTGAGTAGAGGTTCACATAGTTGTGAAACAATGTTGTTCACATTAAAGTTTTTTTTCTTTAAATGTAGGTCTTCCTTTAGATAAAGATTGAAGTTTCAGTTCATCATATCTGTTATTTTCGATGACATGGATTGATGAACATGCCAAATGTGTTGGCTGTCTTTATTGCTGCATGACAGATTGCCTTGAAATTTCTAGCTTCAGACAACACACATGTATTATCTCAGGTTCTGTGGGTCTGGGCAGGGTTTAGCTGGGTCCTCTGTGAGGATGCTATTGAGGTGTTATGCAGGACTGAGGTCCCTTGGATGTTTGGGGAAATATCCTCTTCCAAACTAATTTACTGGTTGGTTCTTTGTAGTTTTAAGACTGAGGGTCTTATTTTCTTGTTGGCTGTTGGCTTGAAGCCCTTATGGGCTGTTAGTTGAAGGCGTCCCTCAGTTCCTAAATAGCCCTGTGAGTTTCTTGTCATTTGGGCCTGACAACAGGGGTACTTGATTCACCAAAACCAGCATGTAAGAGTCAAGGATGTTACAATCCTAGATAACATGGTCATATACACAAAATTTTTTACATCCTGTCACCTATGGTCACCTGTTTTGATGGTTAAAAGCAAGTCACAGGTCACATCCACACTCAAGGGACTTCATCACACAAGAGTGAACCTCAAGAGGGGAAATCCTGGGGGCCACCTTAAGAGACCACCACAGAACCCAGCAGGACCAAAAGACAGTTAACTAACAATTGCTCCTTCTTTCCCAATCCCCTCCCCACTACCCTGCCGCCACAGTACTGGGATTGGTTCAAATGGCCTGCAGGCAGGAAACCTATGTAAGGAAAAGGCACCTAATGCCTTGAAGTCCTTTTAAACAGGCCTCTGCCAATGACTTTCTTTTGAAGCCAAGACACAGAAGAATTTGTTCATTTATTACTTTGGGGACTTCTTTCCCCTTTTCCTTTGCAAATACTGACAACATGAGAAAACCTTTGGTGTGACGGAGTCCCAGCACAGGGCTAGATGTCCATGTAGCTCGGTTTCTGACATTATAGTTGAGAAAAGAAACCGGAGGGTTCTTGAGATGAATTAAAGTTGTTGCTTTATTACAGACTACCAGGGAATAGATTTGAAAAGGCAGGAGACAAATCCCAAATTCTTTGTAGATTAAAAAACATCTGGTAATCAGTTTATATAATCCAAATATAAATGCTTTTAAGGGAGAGGAGAAACGGCCCATGTGCCACCTGGGCCTCCTCATGGGTGCCTTCACTCTCTATAGTTCAGTCTTAGCTTCTTTCATTATACCTTGTCCCTTGAGTTGCCCTACTAGGGGCTGAATATTTAAAATTTACCAAAGTTTTGAGTGAGATTTGAGCAGGCCAATAAGGCATTACCTATATTTGTCTCCCAACACTATTCATAGCTTACTGTCAAACAGTAATTCCGTATTCCGGAAAATCTAATAAATTAGTAAAATCTTAAAGTTCACTGGTTAATTTTGCAAGACCGAGAATTCCCAAGAATCAGAAGTGCTATTCAGACAATGTGGGACGCTTAAGGGTTCTACACTGGAAAAGCCATCGTGTGGCATTAAAACTGTAACACGGTGTAAACGTTTGATGCACTCAAACCTATGCAAACATGAGCTGCATTAAAGCAACTGCACCCAAAATCTAACAAACTTCGGAACTCAAGTTCCTTACAAAAAAACCTGAAAACACCAGTTCAGGGCAACGAGCTCTTTCAAGCGAGTAGTTAGGTGGCCCTGAAAAGGGCCTTGGGCATTGCTACAGAAAATTAGTTTGTGGGTGCCGACTTAACCGCCAAATCCGTAGAGAGTGCGTCCCTGGCGCTTGAGCGCGTAGACCACGTCCATGGCCGTGACAGTCTTGCGCTTGGCGTGCTCGGTATAGGTGACCGCGTCCCGAATTACGTTCTCCAGAAACACTTTCAGAACCCCGCGGGTCTCCTCATAAATAAGACCTGAGATGCGCTTTACTCCACCGCGACGAGCCAGGCGACGGATTGCAGGTTTTGTGATCCCTTGAATGTTATCCCGCAGGACTTTGCGGTGGCGCTTGGCGCCCCCTTTACCCAAGCCCTTCCCGCCTTTGCCACGTCCAGACATCACTAAAGACTAGATGAGGTACTGTGCTCACAAACAGGGAGAGCACACCGAAATTCCTATTTAAAACCCGGAAGCGGACCTTTTTGAAAACTACAAATGAGGGTGGGTAGGGGGTGGGGTTAGTTCGTAAGCTAATTTATCCCCGCCCACCATGCCCGAGAGTCAGTGGGGCGGGGCCGAAAAGAGAAGATTGCTTTGTCTGCTCATTCTCAAAATTCAGTTTAACACGTTCTGTTTAAGGGCATTTAAAAAAATTCTCTTGTTTATCAAGGGAGTGAAATAATTGTACCTATTAAGCCAGCATCTGTTTTTCACGTTTGGATATTTAGGCCAAGTCATTAACCGAAATTATACATTGCCTCTCATTTTAAACGCATATCTGAAATGCAAACGAGTCCCTGGCTTCTCTCTTCCCAGAGAAGCATTTTTTTTTTTTTTTGCGGTACACGGGTCTCTCACTGTTGTGGCCTCTCCCGTTGCGGAGCACAGGCTCTGGACGCGCAGGCCCAGCGGCCATGGCCCACGGGCCCAGCCGCTCCGCGGCACGCGGGACCCTCTCGGACCGGGGCACGAACCCGCGTCTCCCGCATCGGTAGGCGGACCCCCAACCACTGCGCCACCAGGGAAGCCCGCAGAGAAGCATTTTTGTATACTTTAAATGAAGGTGAAATAGTTATGGTGGTAAACTTGTCTTAGGGAGCGAGGAAATTTCTGAAATCCATTGGGCAACAAGGCTTTCCCGCTGGCGTGTTTGTTTTTGGGAGGTATGACTCCATTGCTTGCGCCCTCAGTATTTGCTATCTTTCACCTTCTGACGTCCAGGACCTGTTTTGTGGCAGGTGTTTTCTTATTTTTACTTTATTTTCTTCATTTGTAGAATGGAAATGTTAACCCCGACATCACAAAGGTGTTCTGAAAATCAAAAAGTAAATTTCTGGTCAAATGCTCAACAGTCATTGAGGACTACTGTAATTACCTGCGGAAATTCCATCTTCATGCTCCAAAGATTGACTTTCTCCTCAATATTCTTAAATCTCTCAATCTGGTATTTTGCCATCTGGGCCTATGTTCAGTTGCTTTCCTAATCTCCATATCTTTTTGTGAGCAAACTTTTTATTTAAGAAGTCAGTGCTAAACTTACATCATTACATTTAAATTTATATAACTCCCCCAATTTAACCAGCAGTCTCCATTGCCATCTCCACGCTCCGAACACAATTCCCCCTAAGACTGTATGGTCTGATAAAGTAGTCAGGAATAACTTTTGAGCCGTTATTATATATGATATATATAATATATTCATATATATATATATAAAATATATATTTTGGAATGGGATTGATGTTGCTGAGGAGCTGAATTTTTAATTTTACTTAATTTTAATTAATTTAAATTTAAAGGCTGATACTCCATTTCAGTTATTGGAAATTTTTAGGTATGTTTGAACAACCTGGGCATGTGAACTTAATTTTAAACAATAAACTGTATGGAATTTAAATACGAATCATTTCCAGTAAAAAATTAGTGTCAGATTGACTAAAATATAAACCCAATTTGGTAGATTTAGATTGAAAAAAAGAATGTAAGATATTGCATTAATAATATCTCTATATTTATTACATGTTGAAATGAACATATCTTGGATGTTTTGGGTTAAATGCAATGTATTATTTAAAATATTGCATGTCTTTGCTTTTTAAAATGTGGCTACTGAAAATTTTTTCATTAAATGTTTGCCTTGCATTGTTTTCTTTGGTCAGTGATGCTCTAGAATTTTTCCTTTTCCCTCTCTGTTTCTTGATCTGTATCCAACCTTGCTATCATGGGCTTTGGAACACAGTGGACGTTCAATGTATTTCTAAGAAACCCAATTACAGGTACTCGTCTCAACTAGAATGAAGCATTGCAAAAATAAATTAAAAAATAAAATCACATTAGAGAACTAAGGCAGGCTTGTGGAATAAACCATTACTTATCAAGGCAAGAAAAGATGAATACTAGAAAAATTGTTGACCTTAGAATTCTTCAAGGGCAGAATATCAGGAAATGGAGCGTACCTGAAAATTTATGCTTATTTTTTTTCCCCCAAAAGTGTGTTTCTTGAGAGGGAACATTCAGAACTGATTATGAAAGCAATGAGTGTTCTTTGATTGATAGATTGTTTGATAGATTGTGCACTCAGTGATTTTATAAAACAAAAGAAGAAAAGAAATCATTTAGTAGAAGTACAAAAGCGTTTCCTTAAAAGAAGGAAGGCCAGAAAACAATTTACTATTCCTGGAAAGTAGGTAAAGACCAAGAGAGAATGAGGTTAAAAAATCAGGTAAATTACTTTGGAGTCTAGAAAGAATAATAAGTTAAAGTGTCCATTATTTGATGCATGAGTAAAATAAGAATGTCAAGGAGTTACACCATGGTGTGTCATAGAAATTTATCTCGAAAGTTTATATATATATTTATATACATACATATGTGTGTGTATATATATATATATATATATATATATATATATATAT